ACGCTTTGCACCAATCGAAACTAAAATATTTTCTCAACTCGAAGCATTGTTCAAGAAGTTCATGAAAGTCTCTGATTCTCAGTAAGTCCGGTCCCTGTGGAAACGATCTTAGTACTATACCACTCAATTACTTGAAGCGATCTTGGTGTCGACGTGCACTTGCACCGCCACTTTGGGGATTGTATGCCCACTGTGTGCACACTTACGATTTTAGCACATCAAGTTTTTGGCGCCGCTGCCGGGGACTTGCACGATTTTTATCCTGAGATATTGATTTTCATTTGAGCCTTGGTCAGTTGTTTCATTCGTTGTTCCTGTGTTGTATGCCACAGATACAACACGGTGATCTTTTACCTCTTGATCTTGAGTTAGAAAGAACAATTAGGAGACGAAGAAGAGGTAGAAACAATCGGTGAAATCCCAACCGTACCATGGGGGATAATCCACCTCCTCGGAAAGCCACAGTTAATATTGCCGATGACAAAAAAAGAGGCATACGGGACTACGCAACTCCCGAATTTGGTCAATTGGCCTCCGGAATTGGTAGGCCCGAAATGACAGCAACATCTTTTGAACCCAAGCCGGTTATGTTTCAAATGATTTCCGCTATGGGTCAGTTTGGGGGATTATCTTCGGAAGATCCGCACTCTCATTTGAAATCTTTTATAGAAATGACGGATCATTTTAAAATTCCCGGAGTTACTCAAGAGGCCTTATGCTTGACGCTTTTCCTTTATACATTGAGGGATAGAGCTAGAGCATGGCTAAATTCCCAACAACCAAACTTGATCCTCTTTTGGAATGATTTGGCGGAAAAATTTCTATAAAAATACTTTCCTCCGACAAGGAATGTAAAGATTAGAAATGAAATTATGGCGTTTCGCCAAGAAGAAGATGAAGCGGTATCGGATGCATGGGARAGATTCAAGGACCTTCTTAGGAAGTGTCCTCACCATGAAATCCCTCATTGTATTCAATTGGAAACATTTTATAATGGACTTTCTAGTGCCGCTAAGATTATTCTTGGCGCAACGGCCGGTGGTGCTTTTACAGCTAAAACCTACAACGAGGGGTATGACATTTTGGAACGAATTTCTAATAATAATACTGAATGGTCTAACCCTCGTGCTGTCATTTTTAAATCTGCCTCGGGCATTCATGAGCTTGATGCCATTTCTTCTTTGAATGCCCAAATTGTTGCTCTAACTAATTTGGTTAAAAATAATTTAAACTTGAATGGGGAAAAGAATCAAGTCCAATCCATAATGTCTAATTCTTCCATGACTGAGTCTTGTGTTTTCTGTGGCGAAAGTCATTCTTATGAGTTTTGCCCCGGAAACCCCGTTTCGGTAAATTATGTTGGAAACCATACAAGAAATAGCCCATTTTCTCCAACATACAATTCAAATTGGAGAAACAATCCGAATTTGTCGTGGGCCGGAAATCAAGGACTTCAACCCCCCGGGGCAACTCAAGTCCAAAACCGACCTTCAAATCCCCTGGGATTTAATCAAGGCGGTCATTACATGCAAGGTAATAATCACTTGCAAGGTAATCATCACATGTACCAAAGTGGACAATCTTCACAACCACATGCACCTAGGCAACAAAATGCATCGGAGGGTAATGGTTCACTCGAATATTTACTTAAAGGTTTTATAAACAAAACCAATGCCACCTTGAGGAGTTTTGAGACCCAACTTGGCCAATTTTCCACGGATCTCAAGAATAGACCTCAAGGAACTTTGCCTAGTGACACGGAAACACCTAAGGAACATGTTAAGGCCGTGACTTTAAGAAGTGATAAGGACTTGGGAGACTCTAATGCCGAAAGGGAAACACCTAGTGAGCCGACTTGTCAAGAAAATATTTCACATTCTTTTGACACATCGAAATTTCCAATTTTGTTTCCTACAGCTGAAGAAACTCAAATTCCAGTTTATGTTCCAGAAACAGTAGCTTTACCCAGTTCCAGCACCACCCAGTCTCCAACTGACACTGCTTACAGTGGGCAGAAACTGCCCACACCCGAGCAGATTAAGACCGGTCCAATAGATTTAGATCTAAGAGATTTACCTTTTCCAGGTAGGATGAAAGCCAAAAATGTGAATGTTCAGTTTAAGAAGTTCTTGGACATCTTTAAGCAACTCCACATTAACATACCTTTGGTAGAAGCTCTCGAGCAAATGCCTAGCTATGGAAAAATTTTAAAAGACATCCTCAATAAAAAGAGAAGACTTAGTAAATTTGAGACCGTGTCTTTGACAAAGGAATGTAGTGCCCTTCTTACTTGCAAAATTCCCCCAAAATTAAAAGACCCGGGAAGTTTCACCATCCGTGCTCTACTGGAAGGAAAGAAGTAGGTCATGCCTTGTGTGACCTTGAGGCAAGTATAAATCTCATGCCTTTGTCTATTTTTAATCAGTTGGGAATTCGGGAAGTTCGACCTACTACCATGACTTTGCAATTAGCGAATAGGTCCTTGGCATATCCGAAAGGAAAAATTGAAGACATCTTGGTTAAAGTGGACAAATTCATCTTTCCAGCTGACTTTCTAGTGTTAGATTATGAAGCCGATAGGAATGTCCCGATTACTTAGGGAGACCCTTTCTTGCTACGGGTAGGACATTGATTGACGTACAAAAGGGTGAGTTGACCATGAGAGTAAATGACCAGCAGGTAACTTTCAGTGTGTTTAAGACTCTTAAGTTCAATGGGGATATTGAGGACTGTTCGTCTATTTACTCAGTAGGTGAAGATTTAGATCTAGTTTGATCGACTGTGCACACAATGGAGACACTGTGGGCACGACAGAAGACATTTGTGAAGAAGACTTACTTGAGGACATAGCTGCCTTTGAACAGTTAGATTTTAAAGATATACCAACCCAAACCCCGTCCATTTTAGAAGCACCCAAATTAGAGTTAAAACCACTGCCTTCACATCTTAAGTATGCATATCTTATGGAAGGAGAAAAATTGCCTATGATTATTTCTTCCAACTTAAGTGGTGAACAAGAGGAAAGGTTGATAGATTTGCGGAAAGACCATAAGAAAACTTTCGGTTGGACCATAGCTGATATTAGGGGAATAAGCCCGTCCCTTTGCCAACATAAGATCATATTGGAAGAAAATAGTGTTGAAAAGGTACAACCTCAAAGAAGGCTAAATCCAATCATGAAAGAAGTGGTTAAGAAGGAGATCTTGAAGTGGTTAGATGCGGGTATAATTTACCCCATTGCTAGTAGCGGTTGGGTAAGTCCGATTCAATGCGTGCCTAAGAAAGGTGGTACCACGGTAATCACCAACGACAAAAACGAACTTATCCCAACTAGAACCATTACCGGGTGGAGGATTTGTATGGATTATAGGCAGCTGAACTTAGCTACTAAGAAAGATCACTTTCCTTTACCTTTCATAGACCAAATGCTAGATCGGTTGGCCGGAAAGGAGTTTTATTGTTTTTTGGATGGGTACTCGGGATACAATCAAATCCATATTGCACCCGAAGATCAAGAGAAAACTACTTTCGCTTGTCCCTTTGGAACTTTTGCTTTCCGACGTATGCCATTCGGCTTATGTAATACTCCGGCCACTTTCCAACGATGTATGATGTCTATTTTTTCGGATATGATTAAGGACACTATGGAAGTTTTTATGGATGATTTTTTGGTTGTTAGCACTAATTTCGAAAATTGTCTTGAAAATTTGAAGAAAAGTTTGGAGAGATGTGAGACCCATGACTTGATTTTAAATTGGGAAAAATGCCATTTTATGGTACAAGAGGGAATAGTTTTGGGTCACATGATTTCAAAGAAARGATTGGAAGTTGACAAAGCTAAAATTGAGGTGATAATGCAATTGCCCGAACCTACTTCGGTCAAAGGCATTCGTAGCTTTTTGGGACATGCGGGTTTTTACCGACGGTTTATTAAGGATTTTTCTAAAATTGCAAAACCCTTATGTAACTTGTTGCATGTTGATCAAACTTTTGAGTTCACCTCCGATTGTAAAAAGGCTTTTGAAACAATCAAGAATACTCTTGTCTCGGCACCCATTATCATCACTCCCGATTGGTCCCTACCTTTTGAGGTAATGAGTGACGCTAGTGATTGGGTCGTGAGTGCCGTTTTGGGACAAAGGCAAAATAAAAAATTTCACCCCATATACTACGCAAGTAAGACTCTTATTGAAGCCCAATTAAATTATACAACCACGGAAAAAGAGTTGTTTGCGGTAGTATTTGCTTTTGATCGTTTTCGTTCATACTTGATTGGTACCAAAGCCACTATTCATACAAATCATTCGGCAATAAAGTATTTATTTAACAAAGTTGATGCGAAACCACGGCTTATTAGATGGATTCTTTTATTGCAAGAATTTGATCTTCAGATTGTTGACCGAAAGGGAAGTGACAATCAAGTGGCCGATCACCTTTCTAGAATTGAAGGAAATGTATCAAGTGGGGGGAATCATGAGATTAAGGAAGTTTTCCCAAATGAATATGTTTTGGCCATACAACATAATTTTCAAAAACAAAATCCTTGGTATGCAGATATTGCCAACTATCTTGCATGTGGCCTTAAACCATATCATTTTCAGGGAAACCGGTTTAAAAAATTTCTTCACGTTTGCAAACATTATTTGTGGGACGATCCATCCCTTTTTAAATTGGGATCGGATCAAATTTTGAGAAAGTGTGTCCCGGATGATGAAATCCAAGCTTTGTTAAAGGAATGTCACGCATCACCGTACGGAGGTCACTTTGGTAGACAACGTACGGCCGCTAAAATTTTACAAAGCGGATTTTTTTGGCCTACCATATTTAAAGATGCTTTTGAATTTGTGAAGAGTTGTGACCAATGCCGACGCATGGGGAATTTGTCCCAAATAAATGAAATGCCCTTGAACAATATTATGGAAGTCGAACTTTTTGATGTTTGGGGAATTGACTTTATGGGACCATTTTCCATGTCTTTTCATAATCAGTACATTTTGGTTGCGGTAGACTATGTCTCCAAATGGATGGAAGCAAAGGCTTGCCCAACAAATGATGCCAAAATGGTAGTGGAATTTTTGCATAAAAACATTTTTGTTCGTTTTGGAACACCCCGAGCATTGATAAGCGATGAAGGGACTCATTTCATAAACAAAGTGTTAAGTACCACTCTTGAAAAGTACAACATCCGACATAAAGTAGCCACGACTTACCACCCGCAAACCAATGGTCTGGCGGAACTTTCAAATCGGGAAATAAAAAATATTTTAGAAAAAGTGGTTAAGCCAAATCGTAAAGATTGGTCGCTTAAATTGGATGATGCACTTTGGGCCTACCGTACCGCCTTCAAGACTCCATTGGGCATGTCTCCGTACCAACTTGTTTTTGGAAAATCTTGTCACCTTCCGTTGGAGTGAGAATATAAGGCATTTTGGGGTATTAAGGAACTTAATTTAAATCCAACTCTAGCGGGGGAGAAAAGAAAGCTCCAACTCAATGAGTTGGAAGGGTGGAGGTACCAAGCCTACGAAAATGCCAAAATTTACAAAGAAAAACGAAAATGTGGCATGATCGTAGGATCAATCAAAGAATTTTTGAAAAAGGTCAAAAAATGCTTCTTTTTAATTCTAGGTTGAGGCTTTTCCCCGGAAAACTCAAATATAGATGGTCGGGACCTTTCACTATTGTTGTAGTGAGAAAGTTTGGAACTATCGATCTCTTAAACCCACAAGACAATACGGTTTTTAAAGTGAATGGGCATCGGGTCAAGCATTTCTTCCCTGAAGGAATGCAAGATCCAAGCCAAAAATCTCTCTGAAAGATTGTCGAACCTTCTGTTGTAAATAGTGTAAATATTTTTAATTATCGTACTTCTTGTTTATTTCATGCAGGTATGCTCACAGTAGGCATCTCATGCTCACATTCTGAAGTGGGTTTTGGTTATTGTTTTTGAATATTGGCGGGKTTTTGTGGAATCTTCCAAGGAAAAGAAAAAGGGAAATTAAGAAAAGAAATGGGTTTATTGTTTTGAAAAAAAGTGATGATGATTTTTCTGAAAATGGAGGCTTGTGTAAGTGATTTGACTTGTACCATGACATCATTTTTTTCAAATCACTTGTCCTTCCAAAGGTTTTGCATGCAAAGGGAACGGTTACCTAGGCTTTATCCAGCGGTTATCCATGAAAAGGGGGGAAAATCATTTTTACTTCACTATTCATCTTCTCCTCTCTTTTCATGGCTAGAACTAGAAACAATCCAACCAGCCGGCCCCCTTATCGACCACCTGCTCGCCACTCTACTCGCCGGACAGTCGTCGGCGACACATCATCCGCCACTCCCGTACCACCATCGTTTGCTCCATCGAGGCACTACTCAACGCCCCTCTTGTCGGATCCCATCGCCTTTGTTCCGTCGGCAAGACATACATCAACCACCGGCGCCGGTCAATCATCCACCGTGCAGGTCGACTACGATGAGTATCATGCCATTGTCACTTCGATTAGTATAACTAAAACTCCTCCCCTATTTACCACCAGTTTTACCCCTTCCACCATTATTCACACCACCACCACCATCGGCGCCGGTCCGTCTACTTCACGACCGCCGGCCGCCGCAACCTTTCCCACACCAAGACCCTTTTTCCTAGCCCTAACTGTACCACCCTCTATCACCCCTCTATGTAACCCCATCCCACCACCGATTAACCCTACACCCACTCAACAGCCCCCTATTCCCCTTCCCTCAAAACCACTCGGCCCACCCACCATACACGATTTTGACCTAAACCTTAGTGATACCTTAGGGGAGGAGTTCCATTTTGATTTTGAAGCCAATGCCTCCAACAATCCCGAGGATTTATTCCCTTTTTCTGTTCCTGAGTCTTTAGACGAATCACCACAGCAACCCCTAAGACTCAAACTGAACATGAACTTTCTGTTGAGGAAATACTAGTCACTGCCCCCAGTGGGCAGACTGTGAGCATAGAAACCTCCTCGGGAAGTTTTGATAGTGCAAGTTCAGAGTCTGTTATTCCTCAACCATTACCAAAACCAGTGCCTGAAGACAGTGATTATGAGGATGAGATGGCTCAGGACTTAGAACATGCTGAAGATGTGGCCGAGGAAGCAGAGGAACAAGAGGAAAGGGAGGATTTTGAAGAAGAAATTCCAGATGAGGAGGTTTTGGAAGTAAGTATGCCAAAACCTTCAAAAAAGAGGAAGGCAACAACAAAGCAGAAGAGGCAGCAAACCTCAAAGAAAAAGAAAGAAAAGGTGATGCCATTTCATGAGAGGTACAACCGTATCAAAAATAATAAAATTCTCCTTGAACGTGCCTTTGACCCGCGGTTGGTCAACTCTTTTATGGC